CGATGATATTGGAAAAGTGATGGAGGGTGTATTTATTTAACGCAGCATCAACCAAAGTTCAAAATAGCGCAAAAATTAATGCACATAGGGGCCCTACAGGTTTGGCGCTCCCAAGGGCCCTCCTAGGGGGAACGGCGCCAACAGGGGCCAATGCAGGAGCACCGACACCTCATTCGACCTTCTCAGGGGTCCCGGCACCTCCAGGGACCCTTCCAGGGGGGCGGCACCCCTAGCACCCTCCCAGGGGCGCCGGTGCCCCAAGGAGCCTTATCTGAGGTCGGCGCTGCCCCCAGGGACTCTCCCATGGGTGGTGGCGCTGCCAGGAACCCATTTAGGAGCTCTGGGGCCCCAAGGGGCGGCAGAGCCCCCAGGGACCTTCCCAGGGATAACGGTGCCTCCAGAACCACTCCCAGTTATAAAAGCATCCCCAGGGACCTTTCCAGGGACTCTTTTCAGTGCTGTGGGGCTCCCAGGGGATCTCCCATAGGTCCTTGCGGCTCGAGGGACCCTTCCAGGAGCCGCAACGTCCCCAGGGACCCTCCCAAGGGCGGTTATGTCCCAGGGGCCCTCGTAATGACGGCGGCGCCCCCAGGGACCCTATCAGGGGTGTAGTTCCCCCAGGGACTCTGCCCTATGACATGCTTGTTCGCTGTCTCAGATATATTACATACTTCCACCAGTCCCTTACTGAACTGTGATTGGTGGACTTTTCTTTTAACCCACCAAATTACAGCCAATAGGAGAAGAGAACAGTCAGTCATCTCAACACCTCAACTTATGTTTTCCTGTTGGATATTATTCTCTGTTACCTTTTTCAGAATGCACTGATATTGGAAATGTGATGGAGGGTGTATTTATTTAGCGTTGCATACACCATAGTTCAAAATAGCGCAAAAACTACTGCACCAAGGAGCCCTACAGGTCGGGCACTCTCAGGGGACCTCCTGGGGGCAACGGCGCCAACAGGGGCCAATGCAGGGGCGCCAACGCCTCACTAGACCTTCTCAGGGGTCGCGGCGCCTCCCGGGACCCTTCCACGGGCGGCGGCACCCCTAGCACCTTCCCAGGGATGTCGATGCACTCGATGACCAATCCTTGGACGGTGGGGCACCGAGGGACCCTCACAGGGGCAGCAGCGCCCCCAGATATCTTACGAGGGGCGACGACGCTCCCAGGGATCCACCCAGGAACGGCGGCGAAACACCAAGGGGCGCCGGCGCCACAAGGAGCCCTCTCTGGGAGCGGCGCTGCCCTCAGGGACTCTCCCATGAGTGGTGGCGCACCCAGGAACCCATTCAGGGGCTCTGGGGCCCCAAGGGGCAGCAAAGCCCCCAGGGACCTTCACAGGGATAACGGCACCCCCAGACACTCCCAGTTATAGAAGCGTCCCCAGGGACCTTCCCAGGGACCCTTTCAAGTGCAGTGGGGTCTCCCAGGGGATCTCCCATGGGCACTTGCGGCCTCATGGCCCCTTCCAGGGGCGGCGACGTCCCCAGGGACCCTCCCAAGGGCGGTTACGTCCCAGGGGCCCTCGTAACGGCGGCGGCGCCCCCAGGGACTCTATGGCATGCTTTTTCGCTGCCTCATATATATTACATACATCCAGCAGTCCGTTACTGAACTGTGATTGGTGGACTATTTTTTTTAAACCACCAAATTATAGCCAACAGGAGAAGAGAACAGTCCGTCAGCACAACACCTCAACTTATGTTTTCCTGTTGGATAATATTCTCTGTACCTTCTTCAGAATGCGATGATATTGGAAAAGTGATGGAGGGTGTACTTATTTAGCGTTGCATCAACCATAGTTCAAAATAGTTGATGAGTAATTAGTATTGAAAAATGTCAGTAAAATCTTTCAAGGGTTATTTTGGCCACTAATTACTCTGCAATAGAATCGTGAACCACATATTCATAATCAGCAAGCTCAGACGTACCCATACAGTGATCCCTCGGTTAACGAACACAATTCGTTCCAAAAGATCGTTCGTTAACCGAAACCATTCTTTCAATGGGATTTTGGGTAATGGTTCCAGCTCACCGAAAATTACATACAAAGTAAATAAAAAATGCAGTAAAGTACAATTACTTTGAGGTGTGTATGTAGAAGGCTCCTAGTTGATGATGATGATGAAGTGGGGGTGGAGGAGAAGGGAGAAGAGAAGGAAGTGGGGGTGGAAGAGAAATCACCCCATGCTTCATGCCGTCATTTCGCCCATAAAATTTTAAGTTCACTAGGTGCAATTCAAGATTATTTTCTTTAAATCAACACTGCACTGCACTATATATTGTCAATATGTTAAATAAATTTCAGACTGACCAACAATTGTACTATAAAAACGTAAAAATGCTCTCTGTTCAAGAGACCCACAAGCAAGATGTTTCCTCCACTGAACAGTCATAAACTGAGGCCTTGGTGGGTGAGTGAAGCGGCTGTTGGCTGCACCAAAAACTAGTTCCCTGTACTGCAATTATGTTAAATAAGTGTTAAAATCACTAAAAATTTTAATATAAAACTTGGAAAATTATTGAATAGTACAACCTTCTTGCTATTTACTCCAATTTTAACGAATGTAAGCCCTAGAACCGATTTCTGTATTGGTGGACTAATCTTCCAGCTGGTGAGCAAGCCAAAGCATGTCGAAACGTTTTCGTAAGAATTTCGTTAACAGAATTTTTGTTCGTTAACCGAATTGAATATTCTTATGGAAGGTAATTCGTTAACCGAAATTTTGTTAACCGAGGCGTTCGTTAACCGAGGGACCACTGTATACTGTATTGTATACAAATATAATATACAATTGAAGTAAAAACCTTCTTTGGAGAAATAAAAAACGAAATTTTAGAATTGGTTTACTAGGATACTCTTTTGCCAACTAACACAACAAAACAAGGGAGAAACACATAGAACATAGGAATCCACTTGACCTGTCTCCTGAGTTAGGTAGGGTGTGGATTAGGGATTAATCTTCTTCATGACAGCAGTGGACCCCAGACCTGATCCCGAATACCATTACACTTTTTTAATATCATCTCCATAAAATCAGCTCACCTCACAATGTACAGTAAGCATTACATTTATTTATTACTGTATTATTTACTGTATTACTACTGTTTGTACACTTGAAAATATTTGCTTACACAGTACAGCAATTATAAATAGAGAATTTTATGTGGCAGTCAAGGCATGGCAACTGAGTATGTTTGTTGGTTGGAATAATGAGGAACAATCTGAACAAATTGAACAGAAAACAAATGAATAATTGAACAAAAAATTGAGAAATTGTCGAATAATGTCAAAATATTCAGAACTCAGTTAATTTGTATTTTCAGTAATTCGGTGGATCACAAACTGCACTATACCCTCATTAATTCGACAGAAAGAGACTCTAGGTCAGTGGTTCTCAACCTTGTTAGCCCCATGCACCCCTTTCACCATATGTCAGAATGTCATTCCCCCCTCCTTTCCAAGATTGTCTGCCTCAAAAAGTGCATTCCAAATAATATGCATATAATACTGAAAATCCTTTATTTTTTCCATATTAGTATCAGTTCTCCTCCCCCCCTGAAAACCTGATGGGGGAAATTCCCCCCTGGTTGAGAACCCCTGCTCTAGGTGATTCAAATAACTGAAAATATGAATTAACTGAGTTCTGAATATTTTGATATTATTCGACAATTTCTAAGGATAAAAGTAAAGTTTGTTCAGATTGTTCCTCATCATTCTAACCAACAAACATACTCAGTTACTATAGTAGCACCGACATTTATTTACAACCTCTCCTCATGTCATTCTTTGCCTACCTCTAACTCCCCATATTCATTCGTGTATCTCTTGACCCAGTTAGTTTCCTCAATTCTCTCCACAAGCCTGAATCATCTCAGTTCAGCCTCCAGGTACTGTACTGTATTTCTCTCTGTTTCCACCCATCTTCCACATCTCACACAATCTTCTTTTCTCTTATTATCTCACCCACTCCATCATCCCCGCCACAAGTCTTATCAACCCCCTTGATCCCCAGATATATTCAAGTCATTCGTGAGGGAAACTTCAAAGCAGAAAAGTGTCGTAAAATTGTCTAAACCATCGGAAAAACACATTTGTCCTGAATTGGTTGATATCAGGACAAGAAATAATTACATTAATTATACACATTAAATAAACACTCGAAATGAGTGATTACCTTAAGTGGCAATGTCGGAGTTTATATTACATCAAACTACAGTGATATATCCGTTAGCCGGAATCCCTCAAACCCAGAAATCTCCGACAGCCAGAATTCAAATTTTCTTGGAAAACCATTCCCAAAGGCTGAATTTTACAGAAAATTCCTGCTTTGGGAAAAATTTTCCGAGGGTCAAATTTTTTTTTAAATTGAGAAAATTTTCCTGATACCCGGAAAATTCCGGGGATGGGCGAGTTATTCCTGGGTTTGAGAGATGAAAATGAGGCGCATTTTCCGGAAATTCTGAGAAAAATTTTCTGGTATCAGGAAAATTCTGGGGATGGGGGATATTTTTCCAGGTTCAAGTGATGATGTAATGGGCAATTTCTGTGAACTTTGAAGAAAAGTTTTCCTTTATCCAGAAAATTCCGGATGATTCCGGGGATGAGGGATATTTTTCCGGCTTTGAGAAAGTCGTCTCGTTACCTAGAAATGTCTATTTCCAGAAGTGCTCTGCACCAATTGTTCCGGCTAACAGAAATATCACTGTACGTACAATGTATAAAGTTAAAATATTCTACATAATAAATTGATACTCCAGGTTTGCTGATGTGGATGGAGGTCAGGAATTAATGGTGGAGCTTAGTTGGTGAGCCCCTCCATGATCACTGGTCAGGATCATTAAGGAACTGACGATGACATAATTTGACATTCAACGATAGCTGGTAGGATGCATGCACAGACAAAGGAATGTAGACTCACAAATGACTATTATTTCAAGTATTTATTAAATATTACTTTAACTGAATATAACCTAAATTAAAAGTAACATAAATATAACTCCCTAACTAAATTTCTTACATTATTTCTATTGTTCCACTATTCAACATATTAGATTAACAGTTACAATAACATTGCTCAACTCAAGAGCCAAATTGGTTGAAAATGTAAATTTACCAATACGGGTACTTGTATTGATAAATAGACTGAGATAGGTATTGATATATATATATATATATATATATATATATATATATATATATATATATATATATATATATATATATATATATATATATATATATATATATATATATATATATATATATATATATATATATACTGAAAGGCACATAAAGACAGCCAGAGACATGATATACATAAACAAAGTAGATAGAAACATAAATGGAAGACCGACAGTTGTGATATTTCTTCATAATTTTTAATTATTTATTGGTTTACTGTAGGTGGAAAATTACTGTAAATCCATCTTAACTTATTGTGCACACATGAATATATTTTTGTCTGATATAAATTTGGTACTGTACTTAATTATTTCAGGAATACTATACATAAAATGTCTAAAAGAAATTCTTAGGACTGTAGCTACATACTATAGGTACTCCTGAGCATGGTGATTTCGAATATGAGGTCCACGATTCGACTGAGGGGTAATTAGTGGTTGTAATTACGCTTGGAATATTTAATGACATTTTTCAATGCTAATTTATCTCCAATTATGGGTTTTGTAAGTGTGATTTTGGTGTTAATGTGTTATTCTGTAAGTACTAATTAGTTAAACCCCTTAAATTTTAATTCTGAGAGAAAAGTGGTGGAGGGAGTGATTTGCCGCCTGAATGCCCGGGAACTTTTAATGTGAATGAGAAAAAAGACCCCAAAGCTAAGAGACAAAGCCACAAGAAGCACGCCTACTCGGTCAAGGATAAAGAACAGATTGTTGAACTCATTGAAAGTGGTGCATGGAACATTGATATATGTGAGAGAATTGAACTGTCCTGAGTCTACAGTGCGAAATATTAAGAGGAACTTAGAGAAGACCAAAAAGAGTATTGCGCTGGCTAAGAAATATTTCGGTAGTGATGGAAATGCGAGGCGAGCTATGAATGATAAAAGTGATAGAAACAGGTTGTTAGTGATAACAGAGCATTTTCTCATGAAATGGTTAGCTTGTAGAATGAAAGACAGTGCAAGTCTTAGCGGCCCTCAGATACGGAACAATCATCACACCACGCACCTCAAAAACTCCCCCAAGCTAAGTGTTATATTACTCAAACTCTTTATTTTAATGATTGAATAACAATTGTTTTTATTTCAGCGATCAAAAAGTGTTAGGAGGGCTTCTAAGGGGAAAAATTGGGTGAAATTCTTGGGGCGGCAGCACCAATAAACCCTTGTTTACATGTATTTTAATGTCACACAAATAACGGTTTCGCTAATAACGACGTTTTTCAGGCACCTATTAAACGTTATTGGCGAGAGCCTACTGTATATACATACATAAAAACAGTACAGGGAATACCAATTTGTTTTTTTACACACATGTAATCTTTATCCTTCTTTTAGTACAGTTCAAGTAAAAAGAATGAAATCAAATTGAAAATACATCATATTTGATCCTTTTGTACAATGCCCCACCTCCAGCTGAGCACACAGGGAGGTCCATAAGCCCACTAACACAAGGAATTCCTACACAGAGCTGTGAAAAATGACTCCTCATATGGCAACTTCAGTATGTAAATGAGGCCAATGAAAACAAAGTTATGAAGTTAATAATGTGTACACTGGAGAATGTTTAGTTACCAAGGTGTATATGTATAATATGTATACTATTTTATGTATGTGCTGTTCCCATTACTTTGTAGGTTATACTGTCCAATACCTGGCAAACTACCATGCCACCCAAACTACCGGCAGGGTAGTAAACCATATCAACATGGGTAGGTCTGGCAGCTCACCTGGCAGTCTACCAGTCTGTCCATACAGAGCACATGTCTGTCTCTTGCTCTTGCCTCTGTACTGATACTCCTTCAGTAAACTCCAGTGAACTAATTGACTTATTACTCATCAACTCCCACCGTACACCATTCTTAAGAGATTCCTCTGATGAGGCAACCAACTTTAGGACTACAACCATCCTCCAACAATGGTATCATGAAATACTGCAGTTGCTTCACCATCAGTGGATATCTTTATTATACGGTGTAGAAAATATGCCTTATAGTGATAACTTATACTAAAGGTGTCATAGCTCACTTCTAGTGGATACTGCCACCTGTAAGCCAGACCAACTTTTAACATTGTTATAAAACAGAATGATTGTTTGCCCTGTTACTACTAGCGACTAGTACAGTATTTAACATACTCCAAGACCAGTCCTTGACAGATGTTAATTGGCCTTGGGGATGTTAGAGTAACTGAACCAGACTGTAAAATATGTGACCATTGAAACAAGTACATTTCTAATGAGAATACTGCTAATATTATTAATAATACATCAGAGATGGATTTTGAAGGGGTGTCAAGTACTAGCCGAGAAATCTATAAATCATTGACTGGTACAGTACTTTACTACCTCCTGCTCCTCCTAAAAACTTTTGGTTTAAGCTTGGACATTTGTAGTACTGGAGTCCATTTGAATGCATTCTTGACCCCTTATATATACAATAAACCCTCAATAACTCAGCACATACGGGGCTCTGGACTTGCTGAGTTATCCCAAATTCCATCTTATCGAGGCACTTCCCCCTCCTATAAAAATATAACAATAAAAAATTAGCAGCCCATATATGTTTTACGTGTAATTACTAAATGCAAAAAAGTAACACTTACCAGCGCTGCAAGCGAAGAATGAAGCATCACAGATACACGGTAGGTGACACAGAGGCATGGTAGGTGACACAGAGGCATGGTAGGTGATGCAGGTGGCCAGATATGCTGAGATTTTCCCAGATAATTTTATTTATCTTGGCATTTCCGGAGTTATACAAATACATTCCGAGGCCATAACCATGCCGAGTGTAACGAAGAATTGTTTTGTTTACCTTTTATTTACTTTATATTTTTTACTTCTTCTATTTCTTTTATTCTCTTTTCTTCTGTCTCGTTACACTTGTGTAGGTGGAAGAAGAATTGAGGAGGGAGGGAGTGAGGGAGGCATATGTTTATGTTTGCGGTAGGCTGGTGAGGGGTAGGAATGTAGGCCATCACACCAGAGGTAAGCTGGTATGAGGGGAGAGAGAATAACTGGGGAATAATGGCATAAACGGTGATGACTGAGGACAGGGATACCAGACATTAGGTTATGTTATTTCTTATGGGTCACTGTATCACTGCATAATACTAAAGACATGCATGACAATGTTTTATTCAATACAAGGAGATTGAGAACGAGTCATAATGGTTTTTCATTTATTAACGACGTTACTCAAAATGAACAGTTACACTTTCAAAACAATAATCTATCTTCCCAGCTATCTAACCAAGGGTCACATGAATCACAATACATTTCGTGAAACGGATAAAACCTAAAAGGTACTCACATTATACCCCGCCGTATGAGATGACACCCACACACACACCTACACTTCACTCTCTCCAAAAACAGACTAGGCTCTTTCAAACTGTGTCGGTCACAAAGGGTGCTGCGAGACGCCACCTTTCCATGACATCACGTCTTACAGGTTTTCTTATTGGGTCAGCCTAAGTCAATCACTTTCACAGGTCCCTGCCATTGACTCAAACTTGGAAGGAACACTCATGACATTGTTACACAAATTATATGAAATTCTGAGAAAGGTTTACTATATATATACAGTCGACCCTCGTTAAAACGGACTAATAGGGGGGGAAGGGTGACCGTGTTAGCCGATTGTTCGAATTAACCGATTTAGGGATTAATATTGCATAATATTGCATTATACAGCTATTTCGAATTACTGTATGGGGGTTTTACTATAGTGGGATTTTTAATATTGTTCTGTAAGTACGATATGTACACTCGCAACAAAAAGTATCGGTGCATACTGTAGTGTGAACAATTTGAGACCAGTGACGATAGGTATTGGGAAAGGCGAGTTGTTCCAGCCGTATGTTGGCAGCCCTGTAATCCTGCTGAGCAGCTGGTCAAGTGAAACAAACCGTTATAAATAAGGTTGGGAAGTGATAAATAGACAGTATGAAATATGAGGAGCTCCCTGTTAACAAAATTATTTGTGATACTTGTGAATATTGCCACATTAATTTATGCTACCAAATAAACCACTCAACCTGGTCTTCCTGAGGGGTGGTGCAGCGTGGACGGCCGCTCCGAGACCTGTCGTCTGTAGCACCAGTTTCGAGGTATCGCCGAATCCGTCGTGCAGCGGTGTTCCTGAGGACACCAACCCGTCGGCTAATATCTGTGACGCCGAACCCTTCGTTATGAAGGGCAATAATAGCTCCTGGTGTTCCCTCTGAGGTTTCCATGTCGTCTGGCATGTGTAGATCTCTACTGCTTCATATTGCCTCTGTTTTATACCCACGTTCACCGAGACCGAACCCTCGCTCATCATTCAGTCGACACAAAGCAATAATCCGAAAATAGGAAACAAACACACTGATTGTCAGCCATATGGCAACACCTAGTGGAGGGGGGGGGGGTTATGAGGATACACTTACCAACCTTCCCGACATATCACAGTGTATACGTATCGTTTCGGAAGTCGTCGATCACACCCTGCACTGATACTTTTTGGTGCGAGTGTACATAGCATATGTTTCGACTTGCGTACATTTTCGACTTAAGAAGGTCCCCAGGAACGGAACTCGTTCATAACCAGAGGACTGCCTCTTTAATAAATGATATTTTTAGTATAAATTTAGTCTCCCTAAATTTTAAGAGTTTTGATTCATGCCTTTTTTACCTCAAACTGGTCAAGTACAGGTTGGGGGTTGGGTACAATCCCATTTATCCTGCTGTGCACAACCATATGTCTTTTTAGATCATTCTTTCTGTAATAACTTTTATCACACTCTTCACACTTAAAATTTTTCTCACCAGAGTGCACAACGATATGCTCCTTCAGATGACTATTTCTGTTAAAACGTCTACCACAATCTGCACATTTATAATTTTTCTGACCAGTGTGGATATCCATATGCCGGTTCCAGTGACCCTTCGTGTGAAATTTTTTACCACATTCATCACATGTAAAATTTTTCTCACCACTGTGCACAGCCATATGCTGCTTAAGATTATCCTTTTTGTAAAAACTTTTATGACACTCTTCACATTTAAATTTTCTTTCCCCTGTGTGAATAGCCATATGCTGCTGCAGATTGCTCTTTCTGTAGTAACTATCACCGCACTCTTCACACTTAAATTTTTTTTCCCCAATGTGTACAGCCATGTGCTGCTGCAAATGACTCTTTGTGTAATAACTCTTACCACATACTCCACATTTAAATTTCTTTTCACCAGTATGTACAGTCAAATGCCTCTTGAGGTGACTCTTTGTGTAATAACTTTTATCACACTCTTCACAATTAAACTTCTTTTCACCAGCATGCACAGCTATATGCTGGTTCAAATTAACCTTTCTGTAGAAACTTTTGTCACATTCTTCACATTTAAATTTCTTCTCACTAGCATGCACAACCATATGCTGCTTCAGATTCAGCTTCCTGTAGAAACTTTTATTACACTGTTCACAAGTAAAACTTTTCTCACCAGTGTGCTCAACCATATGAATTTGCAAATACCGGTTACTAGAAAAAAATTTACCACACTCTATGCACATGAAAGTTTTATCAACAATGTGCACTTTTACTTTATCCTTAAGTCGAGACATTCTGTACAGTCATGACCAAACTCTGAATACACAAATCTTTCTCATTTATGTATACAAGCATCTGGGTTATTCTTCAGGTAAAAAAGTTATCATAACTAAACACAGGTAAATTTCTATTTACAAACCTGCCCAGACAGCAGTGTGGCTCTTCAGGGTACACTGGTAGATTCTGGAAGATATCTTTATTTAGGATTACCTCTTGATGTCTGAAATAAATGGGAAATTATTATACTGTACAGCACAAGTGACTTTATAAATCATTATCTTGATAATAATTATTTTCTTCTATTATTAACCTGTAAAACATATCCAGCACAGTGAAAATTAAAACAGTAAATTGCATTGATCTTGATATGTCCCACACATACTCGAACATAAATGACTACAGTATGATGTTACAAATCAGAACGTAATGCCTTTCACCTAAGCTGTTCTTACAGTTAGAGAAAGTTTCCTCAAAGAACTGCTTGTGAATACAGTAATATGGGAAAATCATTGTTAGTTTGACAGTTAATAATGTACAATATTATACATTTTCCCCAATATATTTATAATGATAGATTGGCCATTCTCTCCCTGACACATCTGTACAAATTATAATCTGGGATACTTTACACATTCATCTATGAAAACTTTTTATGGGAGTTTCAGGACATGTCCAGAACAATACATTAGTTTGGCAAGAAAGCAAATTTATAAAGAGGAACTTTCTTAAGTTTATTTTCACAATGTGGACATCAGTGGTAAGAAATTAATCTCCTTAGAGAGGTGACAAGGTGGGTTTTTGATATCATGATCACTGTACAGTATTATATCCATTCAAACAGCAGTGGTGATGATACTGTGTCAACAAATCCATCTTGACACTTTACTATGCAGTGAACCCTCACTTTACGTGGTCAATTGAACCCACGGCGGCCCGCGTAAAATGAGAAACGCGTAAAGTGAACAACATAACATATGGGATTAATTGAAATAGAGACCGGGCCGACCCCCAAACTCCACTTTTTCAGACATAATACCTACGTTGTAGTAAAAATAACTTCTTAATTTTATGATGGTATGCACACACAATTAATAATTAAGAGAAATATCAATAATATTAAGTATTTTAACACTTACATTAGTAGAAAAGATGGCTGGGCACACAGGGATGGCGGGTTGGTTCCGAGGCAGAGGGCAGATTATTGGCCCTCACCTGTATCACTTGTATCAATTGTATCACTATCCACCACAGAGGCTTGGAGGGCCTCTTTGTCAAACCCCTCAAAGTCCATATAAGTCCATATCCTCACTATCATTATCACTATCACTGACTTGGGCCGGCTGTGGTGGGTGGCGGGTGAAGAATTAGGTAATGTTTTGATGACTGGGCGACCTTGTGCGCACCCTGCTCGCGCCGCTCTCCGCGTAAAAGGGTACACACACCGCGGAAAGTGAGCATTCCGTGTTCGGCAGGGTACCGCGTAAACGTGGAAACGCGTAAAGTGGGACCGCGTAAAGCGAGGGTTGACTGTATACTCTTTGCCACTGATCAACCTGTCAGCCACTTGGGCAGTTGGTCATGTCTGTTACATGCCACTTGAAGGAAAGTAATTTTGTTTCACTGATGCAAAAACAAACTTTATTTAGCCAGAAGAACACAGATACAAAGTCGATTAAAAATCATAATATTAACATGGCTATGCCAGTTGAGAACCTACTTGCTACTGCAATGAACTGTAATGTCAAAACAGTTTATAGGCAGTCTAACCTTACTAATTAGATTATGTACATCTTTTAGTTATTTTCATTGAAATTTGTGTTATTATATACTACAAAATGGGAAGTATTAATAACATTAACTTTTAACTACAAAGTTTCCCTCAACCTCATAGCCTGGCCAACAAGCAGGCTTTAATTCTCAATCTAGTACTATACAGTACAGTACTGTATATGGCAGTTAATATATTTCACAAGTCCCAAATACTATAGCTCCACTATACAATTGTAGTACTGAGGCTGTAAATTTTTGGCAAAGTTTCATAAATTTCAATGAAATTAGATAAAAGGCTCATGTGCCCATTTTAAGCTTTTCTGACAAAAATGACAACCTTTTGAGTACTGTACAGCTAAATTTTATTTATGGAGACGATTTTTAACATGGGAACCCTAATAAAAAAATGGATTTAGGGAACTTACCTTCAGCACTGCACCAAATTGGGTACAGTCTTATTGTGAATGAAAATAAGCCATCACTGAACTGGCACATCTCAGCAAGAAGGGAGGAAGTTTGGCATCACTCAGTGGTCTATCCCTGCAAAAATCAGACATATTCAGTCATGGTTTGGGTAAGAATGAACATCAACAATGCAGTTAATTTCTCCACAATGGCTGTAAAGTCATACACTTTTTAAAACATGTAAAATGAACCAACCAAACTCAACATAACCGGATATAACTTTACTAAAATATATTCTAAGACTGCTACGGAGGTTAGTTTAGATTACGTTTGGAGGTTCATCTTGCCATGTCCTATTATGGATAGAAGATTTTCTTCACGACCATAAGCAATGTGTGGTGATCAATGACGTGAAAATTGTCATACGTACCAGTGATAAGTGGGGTACAACAGGGCAGTGTATTGGCCCATATTCAATGTAAAGAAATACAAAAGGATGCACCTATGTCATACCAACAGTAAGAAGGCATATCATATGCAGGGGCAGATCCAGGAGTATCAAAAGGAGGGGTCCAGGAGGTTGTTGGTGGGGGAACAAGGCAAACAAAGTGAGCCCACACAGCTAGGGGGTTGAGGGACGCTGTATGCCCCTCCCCCCCCCCTCATAATTTTTTTTAAAATCTGACCAATATCATGGGCATTCTGAGGCTATTTTAAAGCCAAGTGCACATTAATACTGTATTAGGAGATATTCTGAGGTCAATTGCAATTATTTTTTACTTTACAACGACACCTGAGTAGAGTACAGTACTGCATTAAAGAAAAAGTATTGGAATTTTCTGATGAAAAGAGGGAGTATCCAGACCCCCCCCAGGAACCCCCCCTCCTGTATCTGCCCCTGACATGTCCCAACGGGATGAAGAAACAGAACTATTGGAGACCAAATGTAAGAAAGTGAATCAAGCAACTAAGCTCGTGGGTCTTATAAGAAGAGCGCTCAGATACCTTGATGGCCCGTCTCTCGTAACACTATTCATACGTAAGTTGCTTCCCCGTTTCTAGTGCTGTCACTCTGTCTGTTCCCCGAGATGTATCTAGAGAGATTAAAACGCTTACAATTGCCTACCTTATACTATTGGTGAGCAAGGGGTGACTAATAGAAGTTCATATCTGGAACTGGCAGATACCTGCCCCATTAGAGGCCACAACTTAGGTTGAAGACGCCACAAGTTCAAAAACTTGTCAGGACAAACTTTTCTGGAGTGAGAGTTGTGAACTCTTGATCAATCTGCAAGAAACTGTTGTGACAGCACCGAATGTGAGCTCACTCAAAACCAAACTTGACCAACACTGGTGCAGGTACCAATGCAGGTACCAATACATTCTGGAACCAGTATACTTGCCAACAGTACATAACAGAGACATGACTGACTGCCTGCTCATTATTATTACACAGCATCAAAAATGTAACCTGGAAAATTCAAAGCGTAAATATTCGTCCTTTGACTGTCCTCAGGTTTTGATACAAAAATAGGCTTTTTTTTGTGTATTATGGTGTTTTACTCAAATCTGACCTCCATTTCTGCAGCAAATTTGTGGTTCTTGAAAAATCTTAAAATTTTTATTTGTAACAGAAACTGCTAATTTGCACCAAAATGGCAGTCAGGTTCGAGTAAAACACACCATAAAACACACACACACACACAAAAAAAAACACCTAAACTAACCTTACCTAACAATTTTTTGGAGCTTACCTGCTACTGTGGTGGAAGAAACAGCTGGGCGATCTGGAATGCTTATGGTTACAGACAAAAGAAATTTTGTCTTTTCTTAAAATTAAAAAATTTCCACATATAGGACACAGTCTTGCTGTTGGTAGGACACCGTGATCATGTAATATTTGGATTGCTTCACTATTGTTCTGATAAACTCGCTGAATAACAGCTAGATAAGGTAGAGAGCACTTTTTGCATGCCATCACGAGCCTTCAAAATGGCTGCTTCAAAGTGATTGGCCAGCCAAGTCACATGACACGATACTTGAAGATCACTGGTTGTTATGTCGCAAAGAGGAGGAGGAGAGGACGAGAAAAGTGACTCTGGCAACATGGCAGGTACAGAAATTTACACCTAGAAATTTGTGAGATATTCCGTTAACATTGATTTGCACCAGAATTGATATGAAGTCGTATGTTTGTTTTTTATAGTCTTTGTGTCTGTAATAATGAAAACTGGAAACCTGCAGACAGCCAATGAACGAATATTAACCGTCCAAAGTTTTAGACTATTGTATGACATTTGTAGAATAAGGCCACACAATGAGTTAAAATTTACCTGAATATTTACCGTTTGTTATAAATTGCTGGAATATCATGAAGTGAAGTTGTGGCTGCAACCTACTGGTTAGGTGAAGCCACAAAAATTTTAAATTACATCATGCTGCTTCAAGAAATTTGTTTTCATTGGTACCAGATATCAAAGTACTGTACTGTAAGCATTTTCTGCCTAATATGGCGGGGTACAGTCGCCCCCGGTTAGGAAGTTAGGTAGGTGTCTTTGGTTGGTTAGGTCAGGTTTTATTAAGTTCTGTGTAATGTCGTATCAGTTGTTTTATTATTGGTAAATTTTTACTTTAGAGCATGAGTCCCAAGGGGTTGACCAATATGTTTTTCCAGTGTATTTTGGTGTGTTTTAAACGAATCTGACATTCATTTTTGGCAGAAATTGCTCGTTTTTGTTCCCCCCCCCCCCCAACAATAATGGGGGAGCCAAGGAAATCGGGGGTTTTGGGCAGGGGAGAAAATGAAAACGAGTCATCTAACCTAACCCCTAGCCGGGGACTCCATCCCCGGTGGGCCTTGCTTAAACTAACTTAGTTTCAGTTGTTAAAAATTTTGGGGTGCGCCATGTCCTAAAGTACAATACCTTAGTTATAAGTGGAAGGACCAGGGATACGTAAGAATTGGATAGAGTGATCGTCTTTCTCGTAAAACTAAGCAATAAACTTAAAATAATCGTAGGAGCACAAATAACAACCAACCTCCACCACAGCCATTGTCAGCCTGGACAATGAAATTACCCAGGACCCAGGCTGCTTCTGTTGAAAAAAATCAAATGTGATTGGTCGAAAAAAATTTGTGATGATATCGATACATCATTGGTCACGACTGGATGACGTCAGTCAATATTGCACATGAGTGATGCGCCGATAACATCTCACAGACTGAAAACTACATAAAATCAATTAAATTCAATTGTGTCGCTTTTATCCATTTTCGCCTTGTATATATGGGGTTCAAAATGCTTCGAATAGCGAGATCTAAATGTTTCAGTACTTTATAACTTTCCGGTGTGCTATGTCCTGAAGTAAAATAATACCTTATTATTTAATATCATGAAAAGAACAATGCATTCTGGTGTTGGCTACCTCCTCCAGGGTTACCCAAGACTTCCAGTTTGATATAATAGCATTCTGATTTTCATAAAAGTAAATTGGTTTAACATGATCAATAAGATGAAGGAATACAAACAATTGTAATAATGGTAATAAAGTATTATTGTTTCAGTCATCCAGCGAATTTTAGGATTTTAAATTTAGGTTAGGTTAGGTTGAAATTGATTTGCAGTAGTTTTTTATTGCTTTGAACACCTTCCAAATAGGTGGATGACCGAAACGATAATTTTACCATAATTATTATATTAATTCAACCAATGAGTGCCAAACAACTGTTAAAAGATTATTTCCTTTCCCTGGTTGCAGTGACCTGTCTTTACGGGACCCAAATGTTTACTTTTCACCAATCTTCTGCTTACTGACTGTTATATGTTAATTGTCATCTCAAGTGATGTAAAATTTGTAGAATAAATATATACCACAGTAAGATATAATACTACAAACACAAGATACCTGGCCACCATCTCAGACACCTGACAGACAGTGGTAGACTGGCAATGAGAACTGATGAAACGCTAAAACTAACGCACTAAACCAAGATAGGTAGATCGATAAATTGATAAGTAAATATTCACTATAATCGTCATACATGTTATTTACTCTTATAAGGTACCTGTAACTAAATTATATTTAAATTAGGATGTTTATTGGGAGTGTTTGTGGTACAGACAGTGTTATAATGCACTTGCCTCAAATATTATGTAACGTGGTGTCTGTAAATACTTCATATGAGTTACCACAATTATCATTTCTTTATTTTGTATTTTTCTATTTATATTAAAAGTATACTGTATACCAGAGTTGTAAAGAAACTATATAAATTTACTTGAGTGGTGTACTCCTGCAACATTTGGTTTTGTTTTGTTCTTATCCTCTTCGCCACTGATCGGCTCGTTAGCCGCTTGGGCGATCGGTCACGTTTCTGATTACTTTTCCTTTTCTTTTATCCTCTTCACTAAAAGATCGGCTCCCTAGCCGCCCGGGCGATCGGCCACGCCTCTGTCACGCACTGTTGGCAAGTACTGGGCATGCACCGACTCCTGAATGTACCTGAACCCGCTCCAGTGTTGGTCAAGTCTTGTCTTGAAAGAGCTCACACTCGGTGCAGTCACAACACTTTCTGGTAGATTGTTCCAAGAGTTTACAACCCTCACTCAGATAAAGTTTGCCCTCACAGTTTTCTGGACTTGTGGCTTCTTCAATCTTGAGCTGTGACCCCTTGTAGGGCGAGCGTCCGCCAGCTCCAAGTAAGGACACTCGACTGAGTAGTGCCCCTTGAGACGCTTATACACCTCAATTAGGTCACCCCGTGCCCGTCTGTAGTATAAACTAGGCAAGTTCAGGCGCTCCAATCTCTCAGGGTAGTAGAGGTGCCGAAGTGCAGGCACCAGTCTGGTGGCCCTCCTTTGAACATTTTCAACCAACTGACAGTCCCTAGCATATATCGGGGACCAGATGGGGTGACAGTACTCCAGATGGGGAAGCACTTTACTCTTGAAGATCGTTACAAGGGACGGACCGTCTAGATATCTGAACGACCTTCTTATAAGACCCAATAATTTATTTGCCTGATTTACCTTCTTCTCGCAATGGCCCGAGAACTTCAGCTCATTGTCAACATACACACCGAGGTCCTTTTCACATTCAGTCTCAATTAATGCAGTTTCTTCGTCCCGTTGGAGCATATGATACGCCTTCTTACCGTTAGTACGTCCCAGGTGCAGCCTCTTACACTTCGTGACATTGTATCTTAGCAGCCATTTCTTCGACCACTCTTGAACTCACAGCGGGCCCGATACACTGACCTATGGTAACCCGCTTGTGACGGGTACACATGATGATTTCATGCCATTAATCACCACACACTGCTTGCGGTCATGAAGCAAGTCTTCGATCCACGCTAGGACATTTCCCCGAATCCCGTACCCTTTCAGTTTAATTTTCTGCCTTCTTGGGGTACAATGTCGAAAGCCTTGGCAAAATCTAGGTATATATTGTCGATATTACTACCCTGTAATACTTTTTTGGTTATATCTCTTTATTTTCTTTATTTTCTAATTCATTTTATCAACGATAGCGATGTCTAACTTCAAAATTAATACAATATTCAACTGGGTTTGGTAGTGCTGAAACGAACGTAAGAAAATCGTTGTTACCCCAAACTAAAGCAAAGTATAATAGAAAATAGTTTACAGGGGACACTACGATGAATTTTTATTACATCATTATGTTTTGATATCAGTGAATATTTTTGTTCAATATTAGACCTGTTTGAGCATAGTTACAAAGGATTTTGACTCACAATTTGAGTAAAATATATGTTTCTTGTTTTGGACACATATGTTTGGAAGATTTTTTTTTTCGGATACTTTTACTTTTATCCTCTTCACCACTGATCGGCTCGTTAGCCGCTTGGGCGATCGGTCACGTCTCTGTTACCTTTCCTTTTCTTTTATCCTCTTCACCAAATGATCGACTCGTTAGCTGTTTGGGCGATCGGTCACATCTCTGTTACGCACTGTTGGCAAGTACTGGGCATGCACCGGCTCCTGAATGTACCTGAACCTGCTCCAGTGTTGGTCAAGTCTTGTCTTGAAAGAGCTCACACTCGGTTCCGCTGCCACCACAACACGTTCTGGTAGATTGTTCCAAGAGTTCACAGCTCTCACTCCGAAAAAGTTTGCCCTCACAGTTTTCTGGACACGCGGCTTCTTCAATCTTGAGCTGTGACCCCTTGTGGGGCGAGCGTCCGCCAGCTCCAAGTAAGGACACTCAACTGAGTTGTGTGACTGTCCCTTGAGATGTTTATACACCTCAATTTGCTCACCCGTTGCCCGTCTATAGTATAAGCTAGGCAAGTTCAGGCGCTCCACTCTCTCAGGGTAGCTGAGGTGCCGAAGTGCAGACACCAGTCTGGTGGCCCTCCTTTGAACATTTTCAAACAACTGACAGTCCCAAGCATATCTCGGGGACCAGACGAGGTGACAGTACTCCAGATGGGGAAGCACTTCACTCTTGAAGATCGTCACGAGGGACGGACCGTCTAGATATCTGAACTACCTTCTTATAAGACCCAATAATTTATTTGCCTGATTTACCTTCTTCTCGCAATGGCCCGAGAACTTGAGTTCATTGTCAACATACACACTTAGGTCCTTCTCTCATTCAGTCTCAAATAGTGCAGATCATCAGCTCACTAGAACCAAAATTTCCCTTTACGTCGTCCCAAAACGGACACCACAACCTAGGCTGTTCGGTAGTGCCACCATAACTTAGGCTGTTCGTTAGTGCCGCCACAATCTAGGCTGTTCGTTAGTGCCACCCGAACTTAAGATGTTAATTAGTGCCACCCCAACTTTGGATGGCTCATTGGGTTGAAAAACGTTCTTCCGTCCTTTTCATTCACTCTTTGGACGGTGAAGGACATCCTGTAACCACCGGATGACCACGTCAGACACCGGCTGTGTGTCACTACACTCACCAAGATAAATAATTCAGTGTATTTTTGGGGGAATATTCCCGCTTAAGGTATAAGGAAAGGTTTGTCAACTCGGAAAGGTTAGTCGTCTAGACTTAATTTTTTCATTTTGGACTATCATTATTAAGGGATTATCCAAAAAGTTAGTTATGGTGAAGAATAATATCTTCAATATTTCTGTTTTTGTAATTTCCACAGAGAGGCTTAGTTCATCCGAAATGTTCACTCTGATCTAAACAATCTCTAGTAGGTGTTAAACAAATGTTGTATACACACTTGACACACCGAGGGGAAGTTGCTTGAATGAATCGTTTACAGCTTGTATGTGTGAATGTGACGGACGCAGAGAAAGATCCAAGAAATTAGGTTATTAATGAATTAAGTCGACCAAACAGATGGAAGGGTGGCTAGGGGAGTTGCATGTCAAACCTTATCAAAAACTTTAGAAATATAGAGCAATAAAATTAGAAACACTAAAGATGTCAAGAGCGAGGATGTCGTCAGTTGACCGGCTGGAGTGGAAACCGTGTGTAATAATAAATAATAATAATAATAATTAACGGTTTATTGAAAAAGTTCTGCAGCCCGAAGGCTGAAAATATACATTGGACATAAATGACTTATTACATACATTGGTGGTTTAACAAAAGCCTTCATTAGAGAAAGGTAAAGGAACATACAGTGAACATACAGATTAATGTAGGTGTTGAACAGCAAACACGTAGTGTAGTAACTCCCTCCCAGATGGTGTTAGGAGGGACCTCACGTGATGTAGTGTT